CCCTCAGGCCACTACAAAAAGTTTCCTGAAATTAATGAATGATCCATTATGAGGAGTAGCTTGTGGAAAATGGCATGACCAGAGCTGTTCACCAATTTCACTGTATCTGCTCAGGGTTATTATTGTCATCAAACAAAACTTTTCGGTGGAAAAAAATTCTATTTATGCAAGGGGAATTTTGGAAATCAGAGTTAAAGTTGGAATTGTCATGTGGTTTTGGTATTTATAACATTAAGAGAGATAAGGGTGTGCAGGAAAAAAAAAACCCACAGAAGCTCCTGAAAATTTAAACAGCTTCAAATCCTAAGATATCAGTAGCTGGACTTAAAAGAGAAAGTAGAAATATTATGGGGAAGACTTTTGTAAAGAAGAACAAAAAATTTGGATGGAACTATTCAGGTATCAATCGAAATGAGAGTGGATGAGACTGCATCAGTGCTCTCACGTTATTCGTCATTTCTTCATCTCCCCGGCTCCCTCTGCTGTTGCCACTCGGCTCTTGCACCTTTCTACTCTGGCTCCACTAAATCCGCCTGTCTGTGGGGTAAATGAAGTCGCTCACACATTGTCAGCATCTCAAATTAATATAACGAAAACATAAGGCATTATTAAGGATAACAGTGAGTCTGTTAATAATTTATTCCCTCCACAGTCCTTTAGAAATACCTATGTACTACTGACTGTATCGTTCAGCACAGTATATCCTTAATTTTCTTGTTTCAAAAGAAAAACGTCCACACAAAACAATCGCAGGGGTAGACGTCTTTTCTAAACAGCTTCTAGCCTAACCGGAATTTAGACTCGTCTTTTTCTAGCATCTTTGTTATGCAAATTTTTTTACTGCAGAAAAAAACCCCTGGGTTTACTGCTGGCCTTCATAGTAGCTGGGGTAGCAGTGACATCCAGCGGTGCAGAAAGAAAAAGAAGTTGCTCATTATTTTCACCGAAGGGCAATCTAAATGTAGCAAGAATCCCTTGGCATTGACACAAATGCAGGCAGAATAGATAACCCACACAGGGAAACAAAAATGCAGAACAGGAAATAGACAACACCCTCCGAGGCAGACCGTCTTGCTAATGGCTTTAAAAGGACACCACAGATAGGAAATGGAATCAGTATTTTTAAAAGTAAAATCAAACTTTCTGTATTATACCTGCTTCTTTGGCTTCACAGCATTCTCCTTTTTAAAAATGTTTAAAAAAATCCTATAGTTTACTGAAAAAAATGAAAGGGCTTACAAACAAGGAAAAGATGATTGAAGATTAATTACTACAGGAAAGTTTAGTTTCTCAAGGCCAGGATAAATTTTCAATTATTACTTTCTAGTAACTAGCTGAGTGTTGAACTGTGATATTTGATGCATTGAGAAGTGATTTACATTTTGTGTACATTATTAAAAGAAAAAAAAGGCAAAACATTAGATGCATACAAGGAACTGGGCCAGCAGAGGTAGCTGTTGGTACAGTAACATCAACAACTACAAAAAATATTTTTTTTAAAATGAACATTCTGTATTTAAAGACGACAACATTTTTGTAAACCAGATAGTCAGACCTCACAGTCTCCAGCATTGGAAGTACACTTAGAAGTAATTTGTTCCTCCTTCAGCATTTTGCTGTCATGTTTATTTCCTTGAGACTGCCCATTTCCAATTTCTATTAACTGTTCCTAGCTGCTTGGTACCACATTTTTTCAATCCTTTTCATTTGCATTTTGTCAGCATTGAATTCAGAAAGGATGAGGCAACTCCAAACAATCCCAAGGCTAGCTTAAAAAAACCCCACAGATTTATCAATAATAGTTCTTCAGAAAATTTCCAGTTATCATTTGGACTCTTCGTGGCACCAGGTTTTGACCTAATCTCTAAAAGACAGGATTAGAAAACTTTGAAATGTGGGTAAATTTACATAACATTCAAATCAAAAAGTACACTGTTTCACTAGCTGTTCACAGAAAATACCCGTTAGCAGTACGAAAACACACTATCCCAGACCAATGTCTGACATGGTTACCCTACATATACCTTTGCTGAAGCTGACAGGGCAGAGAACTTTCAGTCTTCATTAGTATTTTTAATAAACACCCTCAAAAAGACTTCATGGATCTTTCTAAAAATATTTATACACTAAAGTAGCATTTAATCTTTGCTGCATTAATGATTTGTATGTTATTATACATATTTATTACACCTATATAACCATTATAGGACAAGAGGCAATGGGTGCAAACTGGAAAAAGAGGTTCCACATAAACATCAGAAAAAACTTGTTTACTGTGAGAGTGACAGGGCACTGGAACAGGCTGCCCAGAGAGGTTGTGGAGGCTCCTTTGCTGGAGACATTCAAAACCCACCTGGACACGTTCCTGTGTGATGTGCTCTGGGTGACCCTGCTCTGGCAGGGGAGTTGGACTAGATGATCTTTCGAGGCCCCTTCCAACTCCTAAAATTCTATGATTGCACTTCAGCAAAACATTCTCAATGCTGGACCTGCTTTTGTTTCCAAGATCACAAAACGTGGTCCCTTTGCGTAGGCTAACAACAGGCTGCAACCCTGTGGAACCCTTATCAGCTAGGGCGTTTTGCAGCCTGACTGAAGGATCAGTGGCCAGGTCTTTCAGAGTGGGAGGAATTCAATTTTGCATGCACAAAATTGTAATTAGATGCTTTCCAGATTTAGCAGGTTCTAAAGGCACTTTATCTTAAATTTCTTGGAATTTGTCTGGCTTCCATCCTATTCTCCAAGGATTGTTTATGCCTTTCACATTTCATGTTTTATGTGAAATGCATAAACAGCCCTTGGAACAAGGCCTGAAATCCAGGTCTAAGATCAGTACCTTTTTTGCCTGTCTCTTTGTGCAAGATCCGTCCTCTGCAAATGGCAAAGCTTTCCAGTTCCCTCTGGAAAGAAAACTCAAAAACTCAATTGGAGCCATGATTTACAATTCTCCTACTGGAAGCAAGATCTTTGTTATCTTCCAACTGTAGGAGACATCTCTTTTATGTTTCCTACATTTGCACTCCAAAGTAAAAACATACCTACAGCAGACAAGTGGCCACTTACACAATGCTTTGAACTTTGTGGGTTTGCAGAACATGTTTCAGGTGCTGTGTGTCAGGCAGGCACTCCCAATAGAAGTACTTCCTTTCAGTTGCAAAACTTAGAAGAAAAACCTCTTCGACAGAATTCTTTATTTCATGGAGCAAAGTCTTGGCAGCTGTCTGGCTGCTCTGGATGCCATTCAGAGGAGCCCACCTCCCATCAGACACTGTATGTCTCTGAGCACCCAACAGCTTTTAGACACTATCTTAAGGGCATGCTTACCCAGGCAGCTCCAAACACAGACAAATAAGACACAATTCTGTGTCTGTTCAGTGACCTTAGGAGAGACTTTTTATAAAGAAAGTTCATATCATGTAGTCAATTTACTGTAGACTTTGCTGCTCTACTTTCCAAACTCCTGTTCCCTTCTCCATCCCCCAAGTCAAGCAAAAATTTCAGCTGATAGTAGCGTGCATAAATCGAATTTCCATTTAGTTTTCAAATTAAACACGTTGGTGAACATCACTCAGAATCCTCACTGCTAGTGTTGTTTCAGGGAACTGTGAAGAACAGACTATGAAGAGCACAAAAAATATTTTTTAGTTAAAATTATTTCTGAGTGGACTTAAATATTGAAAAAGAGTCAGGATTTCAACCATAATTATGCAATTTTATAGCCAACATAATTGATTTAAGACCAAGGCTAGGCCTCAGTGTTGTGAAATTTTAGTTTTGGGCATTTAAGTTTCATACAATAAGCATCATGTATGACGGGTTTTTTTGCACACAGGGTAAGCAATACAGGTCAGCAGACCCTAGAACACAGCAAAAAATCAGCATATTGCAAAGTTTCAGAGGTGCAAAGTATCCCTGCTCTCAGTACCAACAAGACGTGGAGGTTTCATTAATTTTAAGGTGAGAAGAAAGCAGAATGACAGTTCAGACTGACCTGCAGCCTGGATAAAACAATCCTTCCCCTTTAATTCTGCTAGCTTAGCATGTTCTACCCAACACATTTTTCCAGTTATCTAGTCTTCTATATACACTAGCTAATGAAGGATACCCAACTCTTGATCATACTAAGTGTAATGTAAAAACATTTTCTTTAGACTTGGAAACATCAGCACATTTGGAAAATTCCTGCTCTCCTGTTCATACTTCAGTTTAGGCATGTATACCTGGCTATGTATGATACTGGCTCTCATCAATCATATTGTGCAACACTACATCTATTTTTAGAAGTAACAACCCAGCCATTCTACTGTAGAACTCAAGCCAGAATGGAAACTCCACCTAATCTGCCCTCTTATTTATTTAGATTTGTAACACACAAGAAGGAACTTGCCCTCATGCCACAATTATCTTCTGGAGTGAACACTGGATGCCTTCAGTTTTCCTTGCAGGGACTCACACAAAGAGTTGAAGATCTAGAGCTAGTAGTTAACTAACAAGAAACTTACTTGGAAGACACAGTGGCATGTCTGGAATACAGATCTCAGAATAGTCTAGACTGACAGGATTTAGTCTTCTAGAGACACAGACATTTACATATCAATGAAAAAGCAAAGGCATTTCATCTACATAAAATTTTATTACTGTTCAACCTTAACAGATACTCCATTACTCCAGGCTTAGCAGAGTTTTGCTCTCCTAGGTAGACAGGCTCTCAACTGACTGTCTCTGACTGAAAACATCTAGGCTAGGTCAGATTTTAGACCCAGCCTTTCATTAACACAGTCAAACACAAAAGACCAGTTGTAATCCTGACCACCTGAAATGCTGCTAAGCAACAAAAACAAATTCAGGAGGATTTTCATCATTTACTATGTTTGAATAGAGAATCTTTCCTCTGCATTGATCACCAAAATAGTTAAGAAGCCATTATACTGCATGTTCAAGAAACAGATGCATTCTGCATTTCTATCTGTGATCAGAAACATGGGCAACTATTTTTCTACTTAGGAGGCTTGTGGTTTTATCTTCTCCGCAGCTTCAAGGACAGATGGAAGGCTGACTTTGTCTCCAAATTCTTTCTCCCGGTGCTCCAGTAAAACACCCTAGTCAAAGACAAAGGACAGGAATTCATACACTGGTCTCCACAGGGGAAATCAACTGAAAATTCCAGAAAAAAAAACACCAAAAACTTTTGGTCTCTCAGCAGACAGAAAAGCCTCCTAGGTAGCCTGAAGTACCTGTCTTTCTGCCCCAATCACATATACTCCTCCCAGGGTGAATCCTTCTCCTTCCAGGTTACCACTATATCCACTTTTCCAAGCACGGAAGAAATTCTGCCAGACCCCAAGGCGGAACAAGCCTGACAGCATCATTTTTCGTCTGCGTGGACCATAGAAGCCTTTCTGCAGGAAAACAGAAAATACCTCAGCAAAAAGTGAAAAGGACTTTTCCTTCCAAATGAAATTCAGGAAACCAGGCAACCCTGTATCCAAGTAAGGTCAGAACACAAAAAAACCTGACCAGGCAGAGCTAAAAAGAAGCTCTTTAACACACACTACATGACAATTTACCTCCACACAGCCAACTAGTGGTACTGCCACATACACATTACTGACAACAAAGGTGCTTTGTGATAAACATATTTTTCCTTATTTTTAAAGTATGGCAATAAAAATGCTGGTAAAGACAATAGTGGTGCCACCTCCTGTAACTATGAGCCATCAGGTTTTTTTCACATCAGCCTGATTCGTTCACACAGGCATAGTGGGGAGGGAAAATTAAGGTATCTTCTAGTCTGAGCATTATGTATTCTTTTTCCTTCAGCAGCTAAATGGTTTCTAAATGCATCTTCTGGGTTAAGGGAGTAAGCAAGGCCATGGTTACTGGCAATACAGCACATGCCAATGTACTGGGACAAGCCACATTACTGCAATTTGGCCTGTACATTATGCATTATGTTTGTTACCGTCAGGCCTTAATGTGTCATATAAACATCAGCAATTCACATAGCCAGTGGAAAAAAGAAACAAGTATTAATAGGCCATACTGTCACAGGTGAGGGAAGGAATAATCCTGCAATATGTTATCAGTGCATAGCTACAGAGCAATTTGTAAGCTGAGCAGGATATATATATAGAAAAGCAAAGCTAATTAACTTCTTAAACTACCATGCTACTAAATCCTTTTTCATTTAGACCACATTCTATCTGTATTATTTATACAAGCTCTGCAAAGAGGACATTCATAAGCTTGTTTTGAAACAAAAGAACACAGATTTGACTATGACTATACCTTTTCATCCAGAAAGATTTCTCCTTTGAAATAATGCTGAAAATCCTCCACTTCGGTCCCTATCTTCTCTTTCACAACAGCATAGAGAGGGACACCCAGCTTGGACAGCTGAGGTTGCAGAGAGGAGAGCTCAGAAGCCTCCTAAGAAAGGAAAAAAAACCCAAACATTTCAGGCAGTAAACAGGTTGGAAAGCTTCACCTTGAGTTTCACAAATGCCAGAAACATAAGTAAATTCTAGCTTGAAGTGCAAAAGAAACAGATATTTAAGCTAACTCTAATCCTAGGCAAGTCTTCACTAGGTTTACTAAACTGTCTTCATTTAGTATGGAGAAAGGAGATTTTTTTGAGCATTTACTGAATACTAAAATCCTGGAGAAAACATTTTGTTAACTCAAAGCTTAGGGCTTCAACTATCTTCTAAAGTGTTTACAGAACAGTGAAAAGATAACTTCCCCAGGCCAGAATTTCCAGTCCTTTCTCCCAACTACAAATACACCATTATCAGGCCTTCTGCAAAGCATTTTGAGGACCATGTGCAGAAGCAGGTTATACAAGTCCAAAGTAAGAAATAAAATGAAGATACACTCTCTTTCCTAGATCACCCAGTGAAAATAATCAGGCAATCTCTTCATTCATCATCAGTATCCCAGATGCAATGTGGTGTGTAAGACTGTAAGGTGCCACCACTCTTCTGCCATGTTTATTTTCTTGCTGGAGGAATCCCGGTTCCCACTGTACAAAGACCTCTGAGGTTTCCAGCAACAGATCAGAGTGCACGCTGCAAATGTTTCTTCTCATTTCAAATGGAGAAAGGCTATTTTTACTGGACTTAACTCACACAAAGAACTCCACACTTTAAAAACTTTAAAGTTTACATGAACACCCTCTCAGCAACCTAACCAAAACACCTTAACTCAAAGGCTTGCAGGATACCTAGAATTTACTGAGTATCAAGTAGAAGACAGATAGGTGTGAACAGACAGTAGAAAAGACACTAGAGAAAGGCATCAGTAGGTGATAGGGTAAGGGCAGCTGCTTTTCTGTTTATTAAAGTCTTTTTCAGAGGAAATGAAAGAGGATGAATCAGCATCACAAGCAAACACTAAGTAGTGAGCATGAGAGTTAAAGGGTCATAACCTATACCTGTTATATCATTCCCTCTTTTCTGTTCTTAGAGATCTGGTAATTATTTTCTATTTTCCTCCAACAAAATGCCTTATGATCTTCCTAAAAGGGGGGCTTGTAACAGTTTTGTCTGGAATTTTTTATATAGTTCAAAACTCTCATAACCAACAAAACAAAAAAATTGAAGTTTTTAACCAAAAATAAGAGTTAGAAAATTAAGTTTCTCTCTCCTCAGTTTTTCCCTGAAAGAGAAAACCCCACAATTATTTGAGCTAGGATCTTCATTTCTACTTGGGAAGTTAGCATGGAAAAAAAAAGTTAAGGAATTCCTGTCTGACTGTGTGCAAAAGACAGTCAGGTATGTAGTACGCTCTCCTCCTGCCTACATTACACCTGTTCAGAGAGCAAAGTCCTTTAATATTTAACCTTCCATGTATTCTACGCATACTTAAGCAGTTACTACTGATGGGAGCAGATCCCTTAATTAGAGAATCTTAAGGGACATTAATTACTCCATGTTACAGAGTAGTGAGTTACAGCATAATAGCTATTTTCCCCCAGAGCTATGAGAAAAATAATGGCCATGGTGCAAATAATGGCTGTTCCCAGGCACAAGAAACATTTAAATCTTATTTTAACTATCTCCTCCCACCTCCACCCAAGAGGACCTAATGCCAGTTTGTTAAAGATCAAATTTTGTTTCCCAACCCACCTTGTAATGGAACAGTAACTCCTTGTCTTCAGACACCTTACCTTTCTGCCTCATGTTCTGCATCCAGAACATCTCTTACGCAAATCCCTTTTTTACTGATGAGTTTTATTTGATAGCTTTCTGCCAGTCCAGTCTTTGACTGCTTTTGACCAGAGACTGCCTGGCTCACAGAGATTTATTTTGGACATATGGAATACAAGTAGCTCATAAGACTCATTACTGAATGGACTTTGCATAATTTCCTTTTCTAGTTACCATGGGCTAGGTCCCTGGCAGATGTAAAAATCATGTAACCATCACCTTCATAAAGAAAAATACTCAGGACCTAGACTATACAAAACACCTGCAAAGAAAACTAAGTATGCTGTTAGCTGGCAACCAGTTTGGGCTAGGAAACAAGACCTTTCAGATACCTCAGATGTATTGGTGACTTTCCTAGTCACCCCCTCTCTTTATTTAAAGTTAATGTATGCAAGTAGAGTTCAACTCTTCCTAATTAATCCCCAACCCCAGCAAGTACCTCTCTGCACAAAAATCATCCAGGTCTTCGCACAGCCATGATAACTGCACCGTTCTTCTTCCAGAGTTCATCTGCTTTGAATGTTCTTTGTTCTGTTTATACAAGAGAAACAACATCAACAATAGCAACTGTTCTTGTCTATAATGATTAGTGCTTTAAGGACCAACAAAAAGCACTGCAGAGAATTCCACATTCAATCAGAAAACACTTCTATGTGTATAACAGAGGATTATTGCTTTATTGATTCTTAGAAGTATGTCATGTTTCATCCAAAAATAGCATTTTTGGTTGCTTTTCCTTCAGCAGAATTACCTGTTTACAAGAACACCCAAGTATGTGTTATAACTAGGACAAACTGAGAAAAACTTCCATCTGTGGAAGGAAGTTTCTTATAAAAGCTCAATTATCAAATAATGTGGGCTGAAACATCCAAAATCTTACCTGTTCCTAAACTTTTTAGCTCTATCTCCTGTAAAAACTCCAGCGTAGCCTTTTCTGGCTTGGACAAAAATAAGTCAGTGTTAGCAAGGACAATCCCTGTCACAGCTGCACCGATGGCTCCTAGACCAAAAGACCACATGCCCATGGTGAAGATCCCAAACTCAGGCAGGAAGGACATTTCTGGAAAGAGAAAGAAAACTGCTCTAGCAATCAACATCAGTGATGCCAGATGAGGAGGAACTGGATTTAAACAACTTTAAGCTTACAGGGTATTTTTATGGTATAATTATTAACATACTTAACAGGGCTTTAGAATTAGATTACATTCCAGTCCTGCTCCTGACCCATGTAGAAACTAATAACAAAATACTCTTACCTTTTCCTCCCACTGGATTGACAAAAAACATTCATGACTTCAGATGTATTGGGGTAAAGGATGATTGAAGTACATGTGTGTAATAAAGAACCTCTAACAAGATGACCTCTGTTAGCCAGTAACTTATTACACTAAGACAGTGATTTATTTTTAAAAAGAGAAGTTTGTAGATTAAATGGGTTTTCCCCAAACTAATCTATACTAAACAGTGAATTTTACAAACACACCACCGAAGACTTAAAGAAAAATAATCTATGCATGGTGCACCATAATTGGTAACGTTTCCTGTTCCTTATAGTTCCAGACTAAAACTAAAGCAGGCACCAAGCCAAAATTAGAGCTCATCAGTCATGTCTGCAGACAAGAAATATGTAGACTTGCAACCATTTTATTATACAGAGCGATACAACATTATAAACATGCCCTGAATAGTACGTCCTATATGTTAATAAATTCCCACTCTTGCTAAAGCAGGAACAACACCAGGAACAAACAACTTAAACTCACACCCATCAGTGAGAACTGATAACATTGCAATGAAAGCCATTACATATGCTTGCTTGAGTTTTAAAATACACTGTTTGTTGTTACTAGCAACTCTAGTTTGGTGGCAATTTTGTCTAACCACCATCCATCCACAAACCCCACCACAGCGCAATCCTGCAGGTTTCACAAGCCTGGAAAGGGCTGACAGACACCTTGCAATGAAGCAGTATCAGTTCTGACAATGCAGGAAAGCACTCTTAGCCATCCCTCATGGACAGCAATCCAGATCCAGCACTGAGCAATAACTGGTACAACAGTCACCGCAATTTTGGCAATGTCAGAAGTCACTGTAAACTTAACATCACAGCAGTTATGTGTTACAAAGGGCTGTAGATTTGCAGTCACCCAGCATTAGTATTGCACAATATGAAAGTCAATTTTTTTCCAGAGCCATCTGCAAAACCCTACACCCTGATAGACTATTTTGGTAAATCTTAGCATCTGTATATATTTTTGTATAGGAAGTTTTTTTTCCCCCTCAAAAGTGTAGCAAACTATTAGCTTTTTGAACTGTAACTGGAAAAAACTACAATATAAACTTTATTCCCACAGCTAGCTGCTGCCAGGATTCCCAAACTAAGAAGTAGGACTAGTTCCTCACTTTTGTGTCAGACCTATGGTGCCCAGAATTTTCTGGGAAAGAGTCCCTTTCCTAAAACTAGCTCCAGAATACTACTGACAAACAAATACAGTCTACTGCCTACCTACAAAAATAGCTAGAAAAAATGTGAAAAAAGAGATGGCTTTGTTCTTTTAACAGCATACTTGGTTCCAAGGAAGACAATCTTGCAGTATCTAGAAACATGAGTAATCCATGATTCCAAGCAGGAAACAAGGTCAGTTTACGCAAATATAACGCAGACAAGAGAAGAGATCCTACCCCGTTTCTCCACTTATTTCTAAGCAAGAGAAACCTTCCTTGACCATATCTGCTTTCTCTACCTACTGTTTTCAAACAAAGATATACTGTAATGACAATTTTTAAATATCTGCCTCTGACTCATATCAGAGATCATCCTGACCCCCAAAATTTAACTCAGAACATATTGCTGTAATGCAGCAATATCCTTGAGTTAAGTTTTAAAATCTCTGTAGCATACCCAAAAGGCTATAGCCCTGCTCCCTCCCTCCCAGCATCAGCTTATCCAGCTGTTCTTTGGCCTTGACTGCTGTCTGTTCAAGAACTGTTTTTCTCTGAATTCTTAGTTACAAGGAGGAGGGGGGAGGGGGAACCAAGTATTAATCCCTTGTAGATGTCATGTTTGTACAAATATGTTGCCATATTTGTGGCAACTGATTAATGAGTGGTTCTCATATAGCTTTTTATTAGCATGATTATTATTATTGTTAGCATTATTAGCATCACTAAAAATGAACTTCTACTCAGATGCAGCTGAGAGAGAACATAATTAAGTTTAGTCAACACACCTCTTCAGTTTAATTGGTCTTCACTCAGTGACAAAAAAAATCACTATTCAAATATGCAATTTTTTTGCTATTTAAATAAATAGAGGCATGGAAGAAGCAGCTCTACATGATGATACTGAAATTCTTCCCCTGCTATGTGAACACCATAGTGGGCCACTTTGAAAAATAATGTATGGGAAACAACAGCCGGGATTATTAAAATATTTGGTAACAAGACAGGCTGAGCCCTAACACATCTGTTTCACTGAACTCCAAGTGAAGAAATTAAATAGAAAACAGCTGAACATTTGCAACTAGCAGCTCATTTCTGTTTAGCTGCTGCTTATTAAGGAAATCTGAAGCTCAGAAACACTTCACAACTGTCCACTCCACCTTAAAACACAAACGTTATTGCTTTGTGATCAAACTCTGAGCTTTTAAACAACAACCCACAATAAGAAGATACAACAAATCATGGCATAAACCATAATCCACGAGGAAACATCAGAGCATCCCATAAGCCTGTAACATTTAGGTGCACACTCACCAGAACCCATACTGCCTGCACGAGCCTCAGCCACCACCAGTTCGCCCCGACAGTGAGCTCAGGCAGGACAGAGGAAAACTGTGCTGCCACGGGTGGCAAGTGGGCAGGACTAGGGAGGGGTCCAGCTCCAGAGCCTTTGCCTTGCGGCCGGGACTGGGCTCTCAGAGCCTTTGAGCAATACGTGCCACAGTCACCCCGCAGTGGTTACGAAAGCACAGCTGTCCAATCCATGGCAAGATTGTTTTAATAGGGTGGGTGAGTGGGGACAGGGGAATTACAGAGAGCTTATCTGAAGCTGGGAACACAGCACTAAACTAAGATCTGTGTGCTGAACTGTGCTTTTCTGTAGAGCTGTGCATTTTCACAAGTAATGTTTTCCCTGTTTCTGCCTATTCTAACACCCGACCCCCCGGACACTGCATTCCAAAACACTACAAACAACCCTGTAAATGATTAAAAATCCATCAAAATGCACAATGTTAGAAAAATCTTCAATAAAAATGTTGTACTGGTGAATTAACCCAGTGTTTCACTGCTAGATTACATGCTTTAGTGTCAACATTCCTTGGCTAAACAGCATAATTTTCTCTGTAACTATCAGGTCTACAAGCTCGCAACTCTGCTAAAACCTCCAGAAGGGAACTAGTACTTCTCTTTACAGAGAGGAGAAGCCAAAGAAAAAAGGAAAAACATCTTTTTGTGTGATTTTGTTGTGACCACAAGAGATCTCCAAGATAATAGTTATTTTATGATCTGTCAGTACTCAGCTAACCAGAATTTAAACAAGCTTAATCTTAATCCTGTCATAAATGCCAGCTGATGGTCTTTACTTTGTGTCAAGAAGAGCCCTTAAAACCTGGTTTTCTAGATGTCTCATTTCCCTCCCACCCACAACCAGAGAAAAAATTGTCATTAAGAGGATAGCTATCCTTAAACATTTACTTTAGCAGGGTAAACAGGACCCAAAGCATCTGTGTCAAAATAAAATGGGAATGCTGTGTTTTCAAATTGTCAATAAAACTCGGGCTAGCATACATAACATTATCCCTAAGAAGACAGCTGAGCAAAAGTGGAAAAACTCAAGTGGACACTCTCATAAACTGGACTGCACCAGCATATATACCCTATACTGAAATGGCTTTGACCATTATTTTTCCCTTTTCTCCCACTCCAAACTTCCCCAAGACATTCCATATTGAGTCTAAAAATACTTTACAGCTTTGTCACAACTTGCACAACCCAAACGTAAGCTGATTATTTTTTATGAGACATTCTCTCCGAAATGAATCCTGTAACTCCCATAAAAAAAATTTACAATTCACAATAACCTGCTAACATGCTCCTCAAGATTTCATGAGCTTTTAAATACCATTAAGAATTACAAAATACATTATCCTAAACAATCTTGAATATCAGCAATGCTGCAAGTGGGGATTTGACTGGAGAAACTTCAGAGGTCACTTCCAAGTTGAATTGTCCCTTCAATGCCAAAATCAATGCACAAAGAAACCTCCTAACAATTCTGATGGCTTGAATGTAACAACACCAGGGATTTGTTATTTTCTTTTAAGCACTGTCAAGTTCCTGTAACAAACTATTCCTTCTGTCAAGAGTAACAGTCATCTTTTCAGGTTACTTCCCAGACTGTGCATGTTTCATTGCTGAATTCAGTACAACATTGTGCTTGGCTCTTAGCTGAAGAGAAAGCTGCTGTGTCAAGCAAGCAAACCGTGCAACTTCCTTTGAAAGGTAGCTGCTAGACAAGATAACCTCCTCCATTCTGAGAATGTTTTAAAGAAACCAAACATCTCAACAACACCTTCTTCTGATCAAGGGAGAGCAAAGAGCTCTGGCATAATACTCCCAAAGACTTCCAACTCTCTAGTTGTATTCAGAGGGAACAGGCAGCTAGATACATGTATGGGAAAACTACAGTCTCTGTTCAGTCAGCAAAATGGAGATATAGTGGAGACGGGAGGAAGTACTGGAGCACCTAAGTGCAAAGAGTACTACTGGGAAGAGTACTACAGGCTATGCTCACTGCTGGGGATCCAGAGCAGGAAAGCTGCATGCTGTGGCAGTCTGCAGAGGTGGAAGAAGGAAAGGAATACCAACAGACCCACTAATAATGCAAATCAGTGCTCACCAAAAACACAGCAACCTCCTAGGCAGCAAGTGGTCCCTCCTGTTCTAACCCAGATATAACTCTTGCAGATTCAAGCTTTAAATATTAATTATTTTTCCACCTTTTTGGATTCTTAGGCCATGCTTCTATTTTAACTTTCATATTCATTACATTACA